GAAGGCTGATCAGTAATGGAGCTGACCTATTTTGTGGCCCAAATTGAGAAAAAAAAAAAAAAAGACTAAAACACAACAGCCAAAGAGCTATAGTTTGTTTCCGTTTTTATTTTGATCTCTCTCATCCCTCTTAAGACCACTGATGCAACAAAAGGATTAAATTAAAAGATGACAGCACTTTGATCTTCTCCCTTTGAAAGCTTAACTGTCCTTGGTAGTTTAATATGCAGATATTTTAGGGTAGAGTTTTGGATGCGTTGCTGGAGTTGAGTACTTCCCGCCTCCTGTAATTGTGTTTCTGTGTGTGCCTAGCCGTGGTTTGGGGGTGTGACTTTTGAATAGTGAAGAAAGGCGTGGAGGTAGGTGCCTGCAGCAGACAGTGCAAAGCATCCCAGCTCCTGGGCAGGAGAACGCTGCAGAGCCCGGAGCCCGTGTGGTCAGCAAGGCGCCTCTCCACCCCCCCCCCCCCCCCCCCCCCCCACTCCCTACGCCAGGCGGTGCTGCTGCAGGGGCCGGTGACCAGGATCCCCACCCAGGTGGCCCTTGCCCAGTGCTCCGCCCGAGATGGGCCCAGCTGCTGCGTGGGGGAGCCTGTGCGTTGTGACAGGGGTTAGGCATGCTGCTCACTGCTGGAGGTGAGTTCCAGGGGAGCTCACCGCTGGCCAAGCTGGATCTTGCTACTTCGGGGTCTCCCCCGCGCTCAGCCAGCCTCTGAACCAGAGGGAGCATCCGTGATGTAGGATTGCTCACAGGCCCGCTGGGTAAATCATTCCAGTCTGGACCTGGAGCGGGGCTGTGCCTTATCGGGAAGAACAACAGATAGGGCTCTGCGGGGACTGGAGGCCACAGAAACCGTGCAGGACCACGGAACAAGGAGCCCTCCTCCCCGTTATTGTGAAATGTGTGGGTGGGTACCAGGTATCGTTGTGGTCAAGGTTGCTTGCGGGTGACCGAGCCCCCCCAGCCTCCGCGCCAGGGTTTCTCAGGCCGGGGTGGGGGTGGGGGGATGTGGTTGGACTAGGCCAGAGGGTGGCAGACCAGAGTAGATTTTGATGAAAGGTAATAAATACGATGGGTCATAGAAGCAGCTGTTTTTTAATGACTTTGGTCCTAAAAGGATCATTTTGTAACTCAATTAACTTAGAAAGGTGCCGGGGTCCATTTCTGGGCTTAGCTGCCCAATAGAAGTTTAGACTTAACGATCCGTCCGAGGGAGCTCACGGCACAGGAAGGAGCTTCCGACACTGCTTCTCTGGTCCCAAGATCCGGCCTAGGAGCTGGGTCGTGTGGGAGGACAGGCAGGAAGACGGTCCTCTCCCGAGCAGTGCCATGAGCTAAATGTGAACACTCCCCTGGGCGTCGGGGAGGATCCCTGCAGGGGGAACCGGGGGTGTTGGAGGAGTTGCTGGTGGACGCGGGTGCAAAGGCGGGAGGCAGGCTTTTTTTGGGTGTTGCTGGTGAGGTTCGTGTGCTCCTACCCTTTGCGGGACTTTAACAGTTTTCATAGTGGGGTGTGATTTACATACCATAAAGTTCACCCACGATAAATGCACAATTCCGTGATGTTTTTAGTAAATTTCTGCTGCCATCAACACACTTGACTTCTAGAACATTTTCATCAGCCCAACACATAACTCGAAGCTGGTGTGCCGTTCCACACGGTAGCTGATCTGCTTTCCGTAGCTCGGGAGCTGTCCTTTCTGAGTGTTTCCTGGAAGAATCCTACCCTGTGTAGGCTCTGTGTCTGGCCTCTCTCACATAGCGTAAGGTTCATCCACGCCACAGCCCACGTCGCTGGTTTATTTCTCTGGACCGCTGCAGTCCCCATGGTGTGGCTCCATCACATTTGGCTTATCTGTTCACCCATTTATGAACATCTGAGTTATTTCCAGATCTCCACTATTAGGTGTAAAGCTGATCCAAACAAACACGTCTCTGTGGGACATGTTTTTCACTTCTCTTGGATAGATACCAAGGCACGGAATTGCTAGGTCATATGGTAAGTTTATGTTTTACTCTTTAAGAAATTGCCAAACTGTCTTCCAAAGTGGCTGTACCACATTGCATTCCCACCAGCAAGGTGTGAGTGTTCCAATTACTCCACATCCCTGCTAATACTTGTTATTGTCTTTGGGTTCTAGCCATTCTAGTAAGCAATGGACTTTCTTGTGGCTTTAGTTTATATTTCCCTAGTGACGGATGATGTGGAATGGCTAACTTGTGTTTATTAGTCATCTATATATCTATCTTCCTTGGTGAAATGTCTATTCAGATCTTTTGCTCATTTTTATTTTTATCTTTTTAAAGACGTATTTATTTTAGAGAGTGTGGGGGGCAGGGGGTCAGGGAAGGGAGAGGGACAGGCAGACTCCCCACTGAGTGCAGAGCTTGATACAGGGCTTGGACTCACAACCCTGAAATCATGACCTGAGCTGAAATCAAGAGTCAGATGCTTAACCAACTGAGCCACCCAAGTGCCCCTCTTTTGCTCATTTTTAATTGAGTTGCTTGTATTATTGCATTATAAGAATTCTTTATATATTCTAAATAAAAATCCTTTATCAGCTAAGACTTGCAAAATATTTTCTCCCAGACTAGTTCTGCTAGTCTTTTTATTTTTTTAATGCTGTCTTTTGAATAACAAATGTTTTTAATTTTGATGGTGTAATTTATCATTTTTTTTTTCTTTTATGGGTGGGTGTTTTGGGGGTCATATCTAAGAAATCTTTGCCCAACCCAAGGTCACAAAGATTTTTCTCCTCTGCTTTCTTCCAGAAGTTTTGTAGAGTTTTAGAGCTTACATTTATTTATTTATTTTTAAAGATTTTATTTATTTATTTGACAGCGAGAGAGGGAACACAAACAGGGGCAGAGGGAGAGGGAGAAGCAGACTCCCTGCTGAGCAGGGAGCCTGATGCCAGGCTCAATCCCAGGATTCTGGGATCGTGATCTGAGCCGAAGGCAGACACTTAACAGCTGAGCCACCCAGGCGCCCCTAGAGCTTACATTTAGGTCTATAATCTATCTTGAGTTATTTTTTGCCTATGGTGTGAGGGTCTAAAAATATAATTTTGCATATGCATATCCAGTTGTCCCAGTACCATTGGTTGAAAAAGACTATTTCTCCCCCATTGAATTGCCTTGACTCCTTTGTCAAAAATCAATTGACCATAAATATGAGGATGTATTTCTAGACTCTTAATTTTGTTCCATTCTATTTGCCTGTTTCTATCCTGGTAGAAGTTTTGAAAATGGGGAGTTTAAGTCTGCCAAATTTTTACCGAAATTGTTTTGGCTATTCTGGGTTCTTTGCAATTCCATATAAATTTCAGTATAAATTTGCTAATTTCTATAAAAATGCTTAATGGGATTTTGATAGGGATGACATTGACTCCATAGATCAAGTTAGGGAGAATTGCGATCTTAACAACATTGAATCTTCCAATCCATGAACATGGAATGTCTCTTCATTTACTTATATTCAATTTCTCTCCACAGTGTTTTATAATTTTCAGTGTATAAATCTTGCACTTCTTTTGTAAAATTTCTTCACTAGTATTCTACCATTATTGATGCTATTGTCAATGCATATTTCTATAGTTTTATTTTTGGATCGCTCCTTGCTGGTATACAGAAACACAGTTGATTGTTTTGTATATTGATTTTGAACCCTCTGACTTTACTGAATATGTTTATTCTGGTTTTTAAAAATCCATTTCTCACATAGGATCATGCCCTCTGTGAATAAAGATAGTTTTAATTCTTTCCAATCTACAAGCCTATAATATTTATTTAGCAATTACTGCACTGGCTAGAACCTCCAGTATGAGTAGAATGGCAAGAGTCAACATTCTTGCCTTGTTCCTGATTTTAGGAGGGAAAAGTGTTCAATCTTTCACCATTATAGTTTGGTTTTTTTTATAGATGCCCTTTATCAGGTTGAGGAAATTCCTTTCTTTTCATAGTTTGTTGAGAATTTTTATTTAGAATGGGTGTTGAATTTTACCAAATGTTTTTTTCTGCATCTATTGAGATGATCATATGGGTTTTGCCCTTTATTCTATTAATATGGTATATTACATTAATTGATTTGGATGTTAAATTAACTTGGCACTCCTGAGACAAATCCCACTTGGCTGTGATGTATAATTTTTTGTAATATGTTGCTGGATTCGGTTTGCTAATATTTGCTAAGAATTTTTGCCTCTGTATTCATGAGGGATATTGGTCTGTGGTTTTCCTTTCTTGTGATGTCTTTGTTTGCTTTGGTATCAGGATAATACTGGCCTCAGAGAATGAATTGGAAAATGTTTTCTGTTTTCTGAGTTTGTGAAAGATTGGTATTTCTTCTTTTAGATATTTGATAAGAAAATTCATCAACAAAGGCTTCCAGGACTGGGCTTTTCTTTGTGGGAAGATTTTTAATTATTAGCTTGATTTCTTCACTTGTTATTGTCTATTCATATTTTCTGTTTCTTCTCAAGTCGGTTTTTGTAAATGGTGTCTTTCTAGGAATTTGTTCATTTTATTTAAGTTGTCTTATTGGCATAAAGTTGTTTATAATCTTTATAATTCTTTTAATTTCAGAAGGATCACTAGCAAGATCTCTTTCATTCCTGATTTTGGAAATTTGTGTCTTCTCTCTTGTTTGTTGATTTTTGTTGATCTTTTCAAATAACTAATTTTGGGTTTTTTTTTTTTTTTTTAGTCTCATTGTATATATTTATTGAGATATAATTTAAAAGTTGTCTCCAGCTTTACTGAGATATAAGTGTAAGGTGTATGATGTGTTGATTTGATACATTTATATATTGCAAAATGGTTACTGCCAGTGGCATTAGCTGATGCTTCCGTCCTGTCACATGATTTTTTTTTTGTGGTGTATGTTATACAATATTACAGTTCTGTGTCTTTGGATGAATTTATACATACAGGTTCCTGCCATCTGAATTACAACATGAAACATCCCCATCACAATAGTTTGTTGAGCGACTCTTGCCACTCAGTTCCACCCCACGGGCACTTGTGGGTCTTTTTTTTTTTTTTTTTTTTTTTCCACGAAGCCCGTTTCTGAAATGCCTCCATGTTGCGTAGATCCTGACTCTGTCTCTTGTCTGGAATCATTGAGAATCGTTACAGTAGGTGACCTTTTGTGTCTGGCTTTGCTCACTAAGTTCTTTGTGGAGATGAAGAACCCAAAGAATTAGCAGTGAAGCTTGTGGAAAGAATTTGGGATTCCGTAATGGGACATAGGGAGTAGATGTTAGGATCTCGGCAGCAGCCGAAATGGACTATTTTGTGGCCAGAAGGATGGTCTGAGAGAGCCTTAAAATTGGAGCATATGCTGAGTTGGAAGGAAGGTATGGGGTGATCTGTATAAACGAGGGAAGCAGGGTAGGCACCATCGGGGGCTCCTGGAGCGGCATCCGTGGGTCTCTTGGAAGAGCTGGCCTTGACTTCCGCCCCAGCTAATTGCTGTTGTTTGGCTTTCTTGACTTTTGCTCTGTGGTTCTTGAGCCAAACCTGCAGTACGGTGGGATGTATCTCCAGTTTCGAGGCCATTTCTTTCTGAAGGCTGGGAGCGGGGTATGGGTTCTTGCTGAACAAGAATTCTAAATCTGCCAGTTGTTTCTCAGTGAACATGGTTCGTTTCCTTTGTGAATGTTTCTGACCCTTTCCTTTAGGAAGGTCCCCTGTGCCTGCCATCCCATCTAGCTGGATCCCCATGCTCTGGTCCTGTGTCAAGAGCTAACTAATTTTGGGTTTTATTAATTTTTATTTATTGCTTTTTTTCTGTTTCATTAGTTACCACTCTCATCTTTATTTTTTACTCCAGTGTGCTTTTTTTGGGTTTAGTTCTTTTTTTTTTTTTTTCCACTTCCTTAGGATGGAAGTTTAAGTTATTGATCCAGACCTGTTACTGTCGACTTACCTATTTCTTTTTTTGTTTAATTCTGTCCATTTTTAAGATAATTAATCATGGTTCTTTATTCAAATTTATAAATATTTACCATGGCCTCATAGTGTGTATCTCCTGATTTCTCCTCTAAGTTCACTCTCTGTAATGTTCATCATGCCCAGGATGCTGGCCTCTAGGCACTGCTCTCTTGCTAGGGTGATCAACCCTCCTGGTTTGACCAGGACATTTTCATGGTTTTAAATTTTTTAAAAAAAAGTTAATTAAAGTATAGTGGACATATATTATGTGAGTTCCAGTTGTATACACAGTGATTGAATTACATACACTACAAAATGCTCACCACAATAAGTGTATTACCACATTATTGTCTATATTCCCTATGCCGTGCTTTTTAGCCTCATGACCTACTTATTTTATAAGTGGAAGTCTCTACCTCTTAATCCCTTTCACTCATTTTACCCATCACTCCACCCCCCCCCCCCACTTCTGTCAATTTTTGCTTGATGTATTTGGGAGCTGTTTTTAGGTGTGTATACATTAATAATGGTTAGACAAATTCCTGACAAATTATGTTAATAATTATAAATGTTCCTCTTTGTTTCTAGTGATATTTATCTCAATGTATATATTTAACAATACAGCCACTCTAGCTCTCTTATGGTTACTATTTATATGGTATATGTTTTTCCATACTTTTACATTTTTTAAGTTTTATTTATTTATTTTAAAGATTTTATTTATTTATTTGAGAGAGAGAGAATGAGAGATAGAGAGCACAAGAGGGAAGAGGGTCAGAGGGAGAAGCAGACTCCCTGCTGAGCAGGGAGCCCGATGTGGGACTCGATCCCGGGACTCCAGGATCATGACCTGAGCCGAAGGCAGTCGCTTAACCGACTGAGCCACCCAGGCGCCCCAAGTTTTATTTTTTTAAAGTAATCTCTATACCCAAAGCGGGGCTTGAACGTACAACCAGAGGATCAAGAATTGTGTGCTCTACTGACTGAGCCAGGCAGGCACCCCATACTTTCACCTTTAACCTATTTATGTCTCTTAAAAAAAAAAAAAAGATTTATTTATTTATTTTAGAGAGCATGAGTGAATGTGGGAGGGGCAGAGGGAGAATCTCAAGCCTACTCCTTGCTGAGTGCAGAGCTGGAAGGGGGGATGGGAGGTGGGCTCGATCTCATGACCCTGAGATCACGACCTGAGCAGAACAAAATCAAGAGTTGGATGCCCAACTGACTAAGCCACCCAGGCACCCTCAATTTGCCTTTTTTCCCCCCAATTTATGTCTTTGAATCTAAAGTGTGTTTCTTAGACCACACAGAGTTGGATTTTGTTTTTTATCCACTCTGACAGTCTCTCTCTCTCTCTCTTTTTTTTTTTTAAGATTTTATTTATTTATTTGTCAGAGAAAGACCGCACAAGACCACAAAAGCAGGGGGAGCAGCAGGCAGAGGGAGAAGCAGGCTCCCCGCTGAGCAAGGAGCCCGAAGTCAGACTCGATCCCAGGACCCTGGGGTCATGACCCACGCTAAAGGCAGGGGCTTAACAACTGAGCCACCCAGGCGTCCCAGTCTCTGCTTTTTGATTAGAGTGTTTAGTCCTTCCAAATCTCATGTAATTAATGATAAGGATTTGTCCATTTGTTCCTCATTTACTGACTTCTTTTGTGTTAGTAAGCCATTTTAATTCCACTGTTGTTTTTACCATATATTTATTCTTTTTAAAAAATTATGGTAAAAATACATACAATTTATATCTTAACTAATTTTAAGTGTACAGTAGTGTTAGGAATATCCTGGGGCACCTGGCTGGCTCAGTCAGTAGAGCATGCAACTTTTGATCTTGGGGTCATGAGTTCAAGTCCCACATTGGGCTACTTAAAAAAAAAAAAAAAGACTATTCCCATTGTTGTACTTAACAGATCACCAGAGCTATTTATTTATTTATTTATTTATTTATTTTAAAGATTTTATTTATTTAATTGACAGAGAGAGAGAGACAGTGTGAGAGGGAACACAAGCAGGGGGAGTGGGGGAGAGAGAAGCAGACTTCCAGCCCAGCAAGGGAGCCCGATGCGGGGCTCGATCCCAGGACCCTGGGACCATGACCTGAGCCGAAGGCAGATGCTTAACCTACTGAGCCACTCAGGAGCCCCTCACCAGAGCTTTTTTTTTTTTTTTAATTTTTTTATGGTTATGTTAATCACCATATATTACATCATTAGTTTTTGATGCAGTGTTCCATGATTCATTGGTTGTTCATAACACCCAGTGCTCCATGCAGAACGTGCCCTCCTCAATACCCATCACCAGGCTAACCCATCCCCCTACCCCCCTCCCCCTCCCCTCTAGAACCCTCAGTTTGCTTTTCAGAGTCCATCATCTCTCATTCACCAGAGCTTTTTAATCAGAACTGAAACTCTAGACTCATTAAGCAAGCACTCCCTACTTCCCCCTCTCCCAGCCCCTGGTGACCACCATTCTACATTCTTTTCCATGAATTTGACTTATTTATTTTTATTTTTATTTTTTAAGATTTTATTTATTTATTTGACAGACAGCGAGAGAGAGAGAGAGCACAAGCAGGGGGAGTGGGAGAAGGAGAAGCAGGCTTCCCGCTGAGCAGGGAGCCCGATGCGGGGCTCGATCCCAGGACCCTGGGATCATAACCGGAGCCAAAGGCAGACGCTTAACAACTGAGCCACCCAGGCGCCCCTGAATTTGACTTCTTTAGACATCTCATATAAATCATATAGTATTTGTCTTTTTGTGACTTGTTTATTTCACTAAGCATAACGTCCTCAAGGTTCATCCATGTTGTAGCATGTATCAGGATCCATGTAACAGTTTTTCTGAATACTCCATTGTATGTATATACCACATTTTGTTTATCCAATCATCAGTCAGTGGACATTTGGGTTGCTTCCATATCTTGACTGTTGTGAATAATGCTGCTATGAATATAGATATACAATATCTCTTCAAGACCCTGCTTTTAATTCTTTTGAATATATACCTAGACTTGGGATTGTTGGATCATATGGTAATTCTATTTTTAATTTTTTTGAGGGACTACCACACTGTTTTCCATAGTGGTTGTACCATTTATAATCTTACCAACCATGCACAAGGATTCTAATTTCTCCACATCCTCATCAATACTGTTTTCTGCTTCGTTTTTGTTTTTTTGATAGAAGTTATCCTAATGGTTGTGAGGTGATATCTCGTGGTTCACTTTGCATTTCTCTAATCATTAGTGATGTTAAGCATCTTTTCATATGCTTCTTGGCCCTTTGTCTATAATCTTCAGAGAAGTATCTATTCAAGTCATATACCCATTTTAAAATCAAGTTATTTGGGTTTTTGTTGTTGAATTATAGAAGTTCTTTATATATTCTGCATATTAACCCTTCATTAGATCATTTTTTTGGTGGTTCTAGAGATTACATTTTGGTCTATTTGAGAGCACTGAATCCTAGCCACTAGACCATCAGGGATATTTGAGATTAATATGGATCACTTTTTCTTCCCCTTACTTTGTGTAGTTGTAATATTTATTACATTTGTATATGCCATAAACCCCCAAATACAAAGATATAATTATTGCTTTATGCAGTCTTTTTACTTTTTTATTCAACTATGTTTTTCTTTTTTTTAAGATTTTATTTATGTATTTGAGAGAGAATGAGAGAGAGAGAGAGCACATGAGAGGGGGGAGGGTCAGAGGGAGAAGCAGACTCCCTACTGAGCAGGGAGCCCGATGTGGGACTCGATCCTGGGACTCCAGGATCATGACCTGAGCCAAAGGCAGTTGCTTAACCAACTGAGCCACCCAGGCGCCCTGTTTTTCTTTTTTTTAAATTGAAGTGTAGTTAGGCTGTCCATGTCTGTATCAGTTAGGAAGGATGTTGGGTTTGAGGTGGTGGTGAGGACAATAACTACCATGACTTCCAGTACTTTGATGAAATCTCAGATGTGAGGCCTTCTGGCCAAGTGATTGTGATTTCATATTGTTGGAATGTTTGCTGTATCCCTGGGGGTTGCAGCTTTCTATAAGTTTGCTGTGGCTAAACCAAGAAAGAAGGCATATGCAGATTTCTACAGAAATTAGGATTCCATGAAAGATTTTGAGGAGATGAAGAAGGCTGGTATCTTTCAGAGTGCCAAGTGATTTTGGAATGTAAAGAATTTCTTTGGATTGAGTTCCATTGAAGTTTGTCACTGACCTCTGTTCCTAACTATGAAACACGAATATTGTGTTATGGAATAGTTTCTCTTGATAAACAACTAGCAAATTTAAAAAAAATTATAGTTAACATACAATATGTTTTATGCAATCTTATCCATATATTTACCTTTTCAAATGCCTGTTTATTTCTTTGTGCAGATTCAAATTACTGTCTGGAATAATTTCTTTATAGCTTGAATGATTGCGTTTTAATATTTCTTGTAAGGTGGGTCTTCTAGCAATAAATTCTTGAGGTCTTTTTCCTGGGAATGTTTTTATTTCATCTTTGTTTTTTTCATTTTGTTTTTTAAGATTTTATTTTTGGGGAGCCTGGGTGGTTCAGTCAGTTAAGTATCTGACTCTTGATCTCACCTCAGGTCTTGATCTCAGGATCGTTAAGTTCAGGCCCCATGTTGGGCTCCACACCTAGCATGAAGCCTACTTAAAAAAAAAAAAAAGATTTTATTTTTTTAAAGTAATCTCTATACCCAATGTGAGGCTTGAACTCACAGCCCTGAGATCAAGAGTCACATGCTCTACCAACTGGGCCAGC